CCATTTCCGTTTCGGGTTAGGGGGAAAACGGTCGGCAAACATATCCGGTCGTTCAAAGTCTCGATCCATTTCAAAGTCTTGCTTCAAACGTGGGGCCATACGTGGGTCCCTTCGTGAAGGTGAACCATAGCTTGCTACAGAGTTTGATTCTGGAACCGCGTCGGCTAATCGCGATTCCACAGTTCCGCCCACATTATCCAAGCCAGGGAACCAGTCTGAGTGTTGCCCGGGCGGCCTCAGGTCAGGAAGCAGCGTCTGTCGGGAAGCTGAGGCAGAAGACCGCTGTAATCTCGGGTCACGCGGCTTCGATGACAGATTGGTCAGACTCTCGGTCGCTGTCACGTATGGTTGAGTATCATCCTTCGCTGGCATCATATGAGCCCAGATGTTCGTCCGCAGATCGACATCTCCAAAGTCTGTTGAGAATTTGTCATTCAAAGCTCGATTAGATGCATTCACATCGGGAAAGTTATTGGTAACATGATGAAAATCATTGATTTGTGACGGAGCACTTCCGGGAACAGAACCTGGAGCAATGATTGGTGGTTTGTGTGCATTAGGGAACGGAAACGGCACCGCCATTTGATCCGGTGTCGCTGGACTAGCGCTTTGTTGAGGTGGTGCTTGTGCAGTTCTGCCAGATGTCTGAGTATTGACTGCCACCGGTTTCGAGGCGCTAAGCAAGTTCGGCATTGACGGATTGGGTAGCAACGGCTGCGACTGTGTTCTTGGACGAGGATTTAATGGACATGAGCTTGGAGCCGAAGCTATCAGGGGCGAACGTGTGTCATGAGGAACTGCGCTGCCAGAAGGAGGCAACGGCTTGGAACTGACCAGTGGAGATGTCGCTGCTGAAGCGGTGGGTATCTTTACGATTTCCTCTGGCATGCCAATGAGTGAAGGTCCCATGTCTGCCTGGGAAGAATCAGGTGCTGGTCCAAGCAAGGAGGGCTTAGACTTTCGATAGTCCATGTCCATGACAATGCTACCTTCATTGGGCATTGCTGAACTAACATTCCACATGCGCTCGAATTGTCGCTGGGCCTTCTTTGGTGGCGGCTGCTTTAACAGTGTCTTTCGACTGGTCGTCGACTGTTCGCTGCCTTCAACAACTGGAGGTAAGCCGATACCAGGAATTGTTTCAGTAGTCGCCGCTGTGGCAGTCGACCCATTTAGTCCTTCTCGGATTTTATCCAGCATGTCGCTTTCCAAACCCATTCCAGGTATACTGAAAGCTGGCGACTCATTTTCACCACCTCCAACTTTCGCAACGCTTTCGCCGCCAGAATCAAGTCTGATATTAGAATCACTGACGTCATTAATGGCTTCCTGTTGAATGGCTACCGCCGGCGCCTGCGGAACGACTCGTTGCGGTTCCGTGTGCTGTTCATATACATTCGTAACAATACTGTAGAAGTCTTCCAACGTGTCTCCAGGTTTGTTTCTGGTCCAAAATTTTCTAGAAAAACTCATTTTCATGTGAAAGACTAAAACGATGAAACTCGATATATAAAACGGCAATTACGTGTTGTTGTCGTTCGACCCGGATGCTAATATGTGTCCGAGCGGATGCCATTTTAGGGTCCAAAGAGCCTGTTCATGGGCAGTTTCCATCAGACCTACTTCTTTGTCATTGGTTACCATCCAAAACATCATCGCGCCATCCGCACCTCCACTGACGAAAAGACCTTCGTGACAAGGATGCCATGCTAATGCTATAAACAACATATTTACATATTCCAACTGCTGTTTATGACGTCAGTACCGGTCACTTCCTTCTTGTGTCCTTTGAAAGTAGTAACTTCTTTCATCATCCTAATATCATACAATTTTATTAGATGGTCTCGGGAACCACTAATCATCCAATTGCCGTTCTGATTCCACTGCACAGCCATCACCGCGTTTTTATGTTCATGTCTAAAATCAAAATCAAAAGCTCTTAAGGCGCAATTCAAATCAGTGATGACGTCACGTACAGTGTGGCAATGCACTGTCCAGTCTTTGGATCCCATAATTTGACGGGCTGTTGCGAATCACGACTGCCGGAAACGAGCAGACCCTTTTGAGGATGCCAGTCGACGCTGCGTACATCTGAACCGTGGCCACGAAGGATACGTTCCTCGTGAATTCTAATGAAATCCCAAACCCTGACGGTACCGTCATCACTAGCAGTCGCGAATTTGGAATCATTGGGACAAAAGCTGAAACACACGTCATTTAAGTATGCCTTGCATTTCAATAACCTTACAACACGGTATTAGACTTAAGCAAGATTAAAGAAGCTCTGATTGATTAGCCTACTTACACCATAAGACCTGAGCGTCGTCGTTCGTTCCGTGCAGAAACTTGACTGTTTTTGATGTGCCATGATACCGCAAACTCAAAACATTTAAGTATGCAATGAAATATCAAAATCCATGCTTCTCATAACAATGCAATACCAAAATGCCAGCCCCAATAATGTAAATGCTGAAAGTGTTACATAAATTCATTCATTTAACTGAGCATTAAGCATAAAATTTGTGTGATAGCGTCGGTATTCATAACAGCCAGGACATAAGAAAGTTGGTTGTTATGGGAAGCAGCGAAGTTCTGTATCATGGTGTTCCATCTTTCTGTTAATAAATATCATAAAACCACATTTCAGAGGCAGTTATTGCACCTCAAGTAGATAGTTATCCGAAGTCCGCCAGGTTGCATGAAAGCCGTCTGACAAAACCAACCCAACGTCACAAAACACTGCTGTCAGCTACAGCCTAAATGAACGAGTGCAAATTTTGATTTGCGTTAATTTTAACTTAAAACAGAGTGGAGAAAATAAGAAATGCGGAACAGACCATGCAGCAGTGAGACGGAGGAACGCTCTGCGTTATCGAGCCTTTTCATCTCACGCGCTAAATGATGATAAACCCATCTGTGAACGGATACTAGAAATCGGCATCTAATCTGCTTAGCACAGATTCACAAACGGTCATCTTCAGTCATCTACAATGGTAACCTACGTTTTCTATGAGAAAAGAATGAGCCGAGCAGAAAATTCAAATGAAGGAAATGTAAAGTACGAAAGAACGTAAAATTGCTGGAAAACATAATCTGAAAAATTACAGACGGAAAACGATGCGCTTTAACAATAAAGCGAAGTGACGACATTAAGTCGCATATTGGCTACCAATCCACAATAGCGTTGGCTAGGATTCAAGTAAACTTCTTGTAAGGGCAACAGTGACAACTTCAAAAACGGCCAGAAACTAGTGAACAGTTTGATCACATGTCGAACATAGTTCGCAATTATATGGTGCATTATTGTTGATAAGCTGCTCAAAGCATAACAGCCAAATCGCAAGCGTTTGAGCACCTTTATTAGCGAGATGATCAGCAGATGAGTCATGTGATCACATTACGACATTAACAGTTATGGTAGGGCAGTGACGTTTTCCATTTTTCGGCAAATTTAATTCGAAATGATCATAT